AATTTTTCGATTTCAGTGAATAACTCCTCGATTCTCATGCTCCCCTGATACCTTTTAAAAAATTTCGAATTTTTCGATTTCAGTGAATATCAATTTCGTAACGCAGAACATAACATTCACCCTATCGACTGGTCCCTGTGACAGCGGGACTGCTGCTGAGGCAGTTACCGAGTCGGCTGATGGGCAGACACCTCCATTGCATGTGGCGTTCTCCCTCCCTTGGGGTGCAGTACTACGATCCCGCTGGAGTCACTAAACCCCCAGAACTGTGCCTCTACTTTAGTCAATCCTCTTTGGTTTCTACTAAATTCTGACATTTGAAATTCAAAAGTAAATATCGGCGCATGCGTAGAACATCAGTAAATCTTCCCCTGGTGGTGATAAAAAAAATCACTCATTGCACAAGATTCGCCGTGTTCAGCTCCAGTTTTCCTCTTCGTCTGGGGCCACGTCCTCTGTTCCACCGAATATAAAGGGAAATCATTGAATTTTTCCATGTGAAAAACCGTCGAAAACACAAAGAAATCTGGGCTGTGGCTATGTTTTATTTGCGCAGTATTTAATTCCTCCATCTACCAAAAAGTTCGAAAGAGGAGAGTTCAAAAGTCAAAGAGGTTAGTCAAATAATTCTGGAAAAATATGTCTGGCTTTGAGGAAAATCCCTTCGGCGAGCCAACTGTCAACGATCCATTCTCGGTAAGTCTCTCCGCTGTTTTTCACCATTTAAAACCAATAATCAGTAATGAGAGATAATTGGGACTGATTGCACGGTAGACGTCTGTCAAAAGTGTCCCAATGAATTCTCGCTGATGTGAGTCATCACTGCGTATCAAAAACTTATCAGGTTTCCATATTATATCAAATGTAGTGCACAATAGATTATTATCTGCCACGTTTCACTCATTTATTTTAATTAACACTTACATAAATTGATATTGACCGCCAATTAGTGAGTTTATTTCATTCTTGAGAATGATGAAATAGTGCAATTTATTTGATTGAAATGAAAATTATCTGACGACAAATCAAATTTCTGGAGTAATCATTACATATTAATTAAATAAATTGGTATTGATTTCAGGTAATTATGAATTAATTTCATTTTGCAAAATAATGACGCACTTTATTTTATGCAATGGACATTTTTATGATAATCATTTCCATGCAATCAATCCGTTTTGTTATTTAGGATCCCTCAGTGAAACGAGCGGTTGGAACAAATCCTGCTCCTCGAGGAATTGAGGATTATAATCCATTTGCTGAGCCTGGATCACAGGCAAATACTCAGCAAGTTCGTGGGGCATCAAATCCACCACTTTATGGTGGATATGGTGCAACACCTATTCCAGCCACATTACCGGCTACAAATCAAGACCCACCACCTCCGGTTTATGCACGATCACCACAACAAACAGCTCCTACAACGTTGTCACCAAGTGCTGAGGTAATTAATCGATAAATTTAGGAAATTCGCCTTCCCCTCCACGTCCTGATTATCCATCTCCCTTGGGAAATCCTGGAATCTATTGGAGAAATTCTCGCTGTCCTGGTAATACCTAAAATCACTCTGAGAATATCTCTGAATATTTTCACTGCTCTGATGATTAATCGAGCATTTCGGGGAGTTAGTAAAATTTTGTCGGTCGTTGTTATTGATTTTTTTCGGGGAATCCAATAAAATTTTTGAAACCAGTCAATTTTTGTGAAGAAAAGTGTAGAATTGAATATTTTATTCAGCAACAGAGGGCCGAAGAGGAGTGGAAAGCCAGAAGTGAGGAGGAGGCAAGACGACCGGCATATCCTCGTGAGTAATAATTTTCCACTGGTTCATTGAAATTTATGAATAAATAGGGGATAATTGTGCCATAATTTGATATGATGTTTTCAGCTAATGGAAATAATTGGCCACCATTGCCTGACAAATGCTGTTTTCAGCCGTGTTTTTATCAGGACATTGACTTCGAGATTCAACCGAATTTTCAAAGAATTGTCAGACACCTCTATTACCTCTGGATGTGTGAGTTGACATTACTGGAGTGTATTTTCATACAATAGACTATTTGGGTAATTCGTAAACATTTTTTTTTGCCGGCGTTTTTTTTTTCAGTCCACGGTTTGGTATTACTACTGAATGTAGTGGGGGGATTTGTCCTGTTGCTGGCAGATGGGGAATTCACAACCTTTGGTCTCGGTATTCTCTACTTCATCCTTTTCACACCATTTTCATTCGTCTGCTGGTTCCGGCCGGCGTATAAAGCCTTCAAGACCGATAGCTCCATCAACTTCATGGTTTTTTTCTTCATATTCTTCTTCCAGCTAATTGTGACGGGTATTCAGGCTATTGGAATACCTGGGGCTGGCACGTGGTAATTATGAATCTTCGTGAGAAATTAATCGATTTGGATATCAATTAGAAATTTCTTCACAAAAATCAGAGATTTGAGTGGAATATAATGCAATTTCGTCCCATTTTCTGCAGTGGTATCATAAAGGCGATAGACTCGTTTGGTAGCAGTGCAAAGGACACTTTCGTTGGAATTCTGATATTATTGATCGCCATTTGTTACTGTATCGCTGTTGCTGGTGACCTTTTACTTCTCTCCAAGGTAAATTTTGAATAATTTCTCTAAATTGCAAGTGCTTGAGGAATGTCTCCGAATCGACAAGAGATATTGGAATTGAAAGATGAACAACTGAAATTCCTTCACAATAATGTCGCTGTGGCTTTTAGATTCAGAGATGTTCATAGAAAAAATAATTACTAATGTTCTAGATTCACCGAATGTATCGCTCTTCTCCAGCGAGCATGTCGAAAGCCCAGCAAGAATTTACCTCGACTTTCCTGAGAAACGAACACGTTCAAAATGCTGCGGGTAACGTAGCAGCAAGTGCAGTTCGTGCACAAATGTCAAATGCCACCCAATCGCGTTATTAAATACGAACAATTCGTGAACTCATCGAAGGAAACGAATAAAAAATTAATAAAAATCAATAACTAAAATGAAAAAAACACTGATGTAGATACTGCGTTTCACCTTCACGATAGTTCAGCTCGACGAGTAGAATTATTTTTCCCCCAAGCTCTGATATCTCTTTCGAACTGGAGGGCTTTATCAGGGTACGTGGCGTTCGAATTTATTATGGAAGAATGAACAAAACTCATCAATTTTACACAATATAGGAAATACACGTGCAAAGGAATAACATTAATATTCAATAATTCGTCGTATCGTTTATTGCTTTATTGAGTCAGTGGAGGTTTATCGTTATTGTTTCGTTATTGTTCCCACGAAATGTGTGAGTATTAATCGATACACCATAAATGGTGACGATGCAATTTGATGTGGAGTGACATGTTAAAGTTATTTCTGGTGATAATGACTATTAGATTGCGTGTAATTTTACATAAGGTGTCGTATTACATGCGTCGTCAGTCTGACAATTTTCAATTTTGTTGAATTAGCTAAATTAATTGCGTTGAGAATTTATTTAGTAAAAATTCCCTCTGGTTTAATACTAGTCCGTCACAATTCAATGATATTCGAGGAATGGATGACTGTGGTTGTTTTTCTATGGAGTCAGTACTAATCGTTTTTTATTGAACACGTGTCTTCACCTTTGACAGAAAATTCTAATGTGCATTGATTTACCATTTAATTCAATCTTCAGCGGAGAAATACATAATTCAGATAAAAACCCTGAAGTGACTAGATGATGGTTTAGACAAGCTATGCAAACGAGTGTATATCGTTATTTTTGTATAGTTTTTAGGGAAATATAAACCAATCATTTTATACACGAATTTTTTTTTGTCATGAAAATCATGTGTGAATTTATTTGTTTTGCCAGTCCGTTGGGACTTACATTGAAAAATTGAAAAAGGAGATCCTGTTGGGTGATGAATGGAATGATTGAAGTCTAGAGCTGAGATTGGGGAATGATGAATAATAATTACGGTTGATTGTCCGATGAGGAGCCTAGCAGATGTTCCAGGCCGAGTAATTCTAATAATTCTGTTGCTGAAAGGGTGAATCAATAACAGTTGAGAATAATAAAATGATGGCAATTATTTTGTAAAGAAAATATGAGAGTCCTAACTTTCTTGATTAAATGTGGCCATTGGGTCCCTGGGGAATGGACAGCCAGCGTCATTAGATGTGGGAATGGTACCAACAAGTTGAGCTGCTACTATTGCGTCCATGATATCGACTTCTTTCTTGTACATTAATCTTGCATGGCCCTCCGCCAGTCTCAAATATGAAAATTATTAATTTATCGATATAATAAAGTTGTACGATTAATCAAGACAATTGGTTGTTTTCACTACCTGATGAGACTCTCCAGGAGTCGGACTGTAGTTCTTTCTTCTCTTCTGTTCGGATTTTTTCGATGGTATAAAAATGTCGCTCGCACTATTTTATCTGCAGCCTCCGTTAACTTAGGTTCGAGAGTATGAATGTGAGCAAAATATTCACGGAGACTCTCTTCGTCCCATAAATTATCGGATTTCAAAAGCTCCATGGGCTTTTTTACAGTTCTGCAATTTATAAAATACCGAATTCGTTATTGGGAAATGAGTATGAAGTATTACCTGCGAAATCGGTGATCTAATTGATGGCCAGAGGAATTTATTCGAATTTTTCGGCACCTTAAAAAGTCCTGAGCATCAATTACCGTGTCGCTTGGGCGTCAGGATCTTCACAGGCAGCTTTCAGTAAATGCTCAGCAGTCAGACGATCCCAGTCAAGGTTTTTATTGTCCTTGAGTTGTAGAATCAAGTCGAATCTCGATAAAAGTGGATTGCCGAGTCTCGTCTTCACTTCAGCTCCCTCCACGAATTTTCCACCAACAGGATTAATAGCAGCTATAACTGAACACCGTGAATTCAGAGTACTGACAAGACCAGCTTTGGCTATCGAAATTGTCTGTTGCTCCATGGCTTCATGAAGAGATGCACGATCATTCGAATTCATTGTTGTGAATTCGTCGACACAGCAGACTCCACCATCAGCCAAAACCAGGGCACCTCCTTCCAGATGCCAGCCATCTGTGTCCTTGGATTGAAGAGAAAATTTAATCAATGAATTGGAAATTATTGGAGCACAGCAAAATTGAAGGGTAAGTGATTTTTCTACTGTTTCTTTATTCTATCCTTCATTTATTTTAATTGAATAGACACCTTGACAGCAGCTGCTGTCAGACCTGCAGCAGTTGTTCCCACCCCAGTAGTCAGGACTGATCTCACAGCTAATCTTGCAGCAGTTCTGAGTATCTGTGATTTACCAGTTCCTGGGTCACCTATCATCAATAAATGCGGCTCTCCCCTCACTCTCACACCTGAAAACATGCGCTTCTAATTAATCAGCGGAGATAATTGTCCTTAGAGGAAAAAAAAAATACAATTCCTTTACCAGATTTCATAAATTTTTTTTTATGGACATCGAATATCAATCGATATGATGCGATTTTGAAAGTTTTTATGTATACCATCATTTAATTTATCCCCCGTTCTTCACCACTACATTATTGATCCTTCGTAAAACAGGAAATAGAGGAATCCTAAAAGTTAGAAACCCACCAGTTTGATTGAGGGTAGAAACTCCGCCCGCGAGGACCACAGCAAGCGCCAGTTTCACAAAGTACATACCGAAGAGCTAATAATGGATTCATTATTGAATTAATTGACTAGATTTTTTTGGGAAATTCCACTGTATTTGAATTACTGAGTCCAATGGGCTATTTCACCTGCGGGCAAATGGACGCAAGAATATTATTTCGCCCCTCTAGTGGATTATCTTCATATTTCTTCCAATAATTTCGGAATATTTCCGTTATTTCAATTTCCGAGTAATTCGAATCGAGAACTTTTCGTAATATCGATAAACTGTTGGCTATCATTATAGTCGTGGCCTCGGGCCTCTTCCCTTCAGTCATTTGCACCCACCGTTCGATAACGACTCCACTAAAACCAGAAAATAGGAATGAATAAAATGAGGAATATATTTATAAATGAATGCAATTGATGTGATTTTGAAAAATCTGACGAAATGCAGGTGCAGTTTTAAATGTTGTCACCTCGATTAATTTACCTTACTTCAACATCATTTCCTGGTGCACACTGATCGACAAGATCACTCATCAAGATGACTTGCATGCCGACATTGTAAGAGCTATTGCTGTCAGTCTGTACTTTCTCCTGAATCTTCACCTCTTGATAATCCACGCAATCGTCAGCATCAACATTGTTCTCGACTCTGAGACTCTTAGCGAAACATTTCTCACATTGTTTGGGCTCTTTGAAGGTTTGGAGTTCCCAAGACAACTGAAAGAATCAGAGGGAGAAAAGTTATTCTCTTGCTGCTTGAAATGTTTCGAATTCCTGGCAATCCAGTTTATTTTTATACTCGCATTAACAGCTGTGATGTGCTCGCATTTTTTGCAAAACCATCGTTTCACGAGTTTCAGAACACTAGGCTGGGATATTCTCACAGCAATGCCACTGGTCGATACAAATTCTCCAATATTCTCATGATTAGCTCGATGAGGGGGTGACGTGATTCTCGTGTGAATTCTTCTTTTTATTTTGTGGTGCTCTTTGGCTAGTAGCTTTTGCGATTTTAGTGCTGACGAGTCACAAAGGGGTAGGTATTCTCTAGGTTTTCGAAGGATATTGTTAGCTATGTCTGGTTCCGCCCCAAATAATGTTATAAAACTGAAATTAATCATTACAAACCCAAATGAGAGCTCGAAATTTTATCAAGCTACATATTGTATGAATGCGAATTGATTTTTTTAGGTAATTTCATGTGCGAATTGTTTTCTGTGCAGATATTTTTATAAGTGAGATTGGAGATGCATCAGGTTGAAAGGGCAATCACCTCTTTAATCCTTCGAAACTCTCAGCCGCAATAATAATATGTATGATACTCACTTAACGTAGATTGAATAATGCAGCGATTCGTCCGGTGACTCAAGTATCGCCATCAAATCATTAACATGGTACTTTAAAAAATAATCTGTCAACATTTTGATGTATCCTCAGGAGGTTAGATAAACTTTTACTGATTTCAAAAGATTAAATTCTGAGGAATTCAAGAGAAGTTTATAAATTCTTTCTACCATTTTTTACTACACCTCACAGTATAACGAAATAATTCTGGGGATTTAGACTGAAAAAACATTCGAATTATTTTGTATTGTTATGAATGTTCTAGTTCGAATCACGCTCACACGTTGGCGCGATTAGTAAAGGGTGGGAAAATTCAAAATACTTCGAGTGACGTAAAGTTTCTTTATTTTACCATAAATTTCAATTGTAGATATGCATCGTTTATCATTTTTAAAAATTTTCCTTTAGAAACTAATTTTTTTGGAGTAACAACAATTACAATAATTACCACTTAATTGTCGATATAAATACCACAATTTCTATGCAGCAGGATAAAAAATTGGCCAGGGGAATATTCCATGGTAATAGTGACGAAAAGAAATTGTTAAAACAATGTCCCTGGAATGGCGATTATCTGAAATTGACGGATGGCTTGTAAAAAGACTCTCACCAAAGTGTATCGCATCATCTCATCTACAAGAGCCAATAAAAAAAATGGAAAAAACCCCATCGAGCGTAATGACTCATTACAAAGCTCTATCACGCCTGATCACAGAGGTAATGTCAAGTGAAGAAGTAAAATAAATTAACGTGAAAAAACCGAGCATCAGACAATTTATCGTTATCGCTCGTAAAGTGAAAAATCATATTCCTGAGGAGGTAGGTCATGGGGTCGGGTGGTAATAAAGTTTCAACGATGGGAAACATCGACGGTGGAAGGGATAGTGGGTTGGCTACCAAGTAAAAGGTAATTCCCGGGGATTTTGATAGGCTCACGAGTGCAAACTACTGGATGGGATATATTACTTGAAGGTTTTTACGATGGAACCTCCATAGTACCAGTAACGCAATATAACGTCTTTTTTACTGAGCCCTCGGCGCTAAAACTGGGCGGGTCAATGTGAATCTTGTTGCTACTCTAAACGAGAATCGGATTTTTTTCATCCCCGCTCATCCCTTTCTCAATTTACGAAATTTGATCACTCTCAATCGCCAGTGATTTCCCTCTTCAATACAATTGGAATGTACTCGTTGATGATCTCTTGTTCCAATGAACTGTCGAGTAGCTTTTTTCAACTTTTTTCATTGTATTCACAAAACCGCATTGGCGCACCAGCCATTAATCAATTCTCCCAACCTTTGTTTGGCATTGTAGGTTTTTTATTTTGTCGATTTTTTTGATTTTTTGGAAAGGCCTTTCGTCCACTTTGTGTTCGATATTCGGGGCCTTTTCGAAATTCCTCCTCTTGTCGCGTAATTCCGTTCTGCCGAGGAACGGGCGAAAGCTCGCGGTTAAAGTTTTCGCCGCTTTACACCAGAAACCTTTTTCAGTCTTAAACTTTTTCCGGCTTTTATTGTTCATTTCGCGTTGAAGCACTTGTCGTTGATGATTCTTTTTTTATTGGGGCTTTTGGCGGGTTTTTTAAAGAACGATGTTGTTCAATGCCGATCAACGGTGGGAAGTCGTATCCTGGATTTTGTTACTGCACAATTTATTTTACAGTCTTCCGAAATATTACTCAATTTACACAATTATCAATTCCAGAACAAAATATTCAAAACCTTTCTATCAAAAATTCACTCAATTAAAAAAAAAACTTCTCGAATTCCCCATCATTGCCGATAAATCGTCAATTGATTAATTAATCCCCCGAAATATTGTGATTCCCCGCCCCGAAGAGGAGAAACATATTTTAAATGAAAATAATATCTCGTCCCTTTTCTGTACCAACCGTGGAAAATGTCCTGCATTTTCCACCGAAACGGAGTAAAATTCTAAATGACTAATTTCCATTATTATTCATGATCGTTAAAGTTAAAGTATAAGTTTCAGGCATTACTGATAGACATACGTTACATTAACGGTGTCACATGCAATTACACCAATTCCACAGAGGACAATACGCGTTGGAACATATATCCCGTTCTAACAGTACGGAGAATGCATTCCCACATAGATATGAGATAAACAACATTCTCCTCTCGAGTTCTACGATGCAGCGGCATTAGTCGTATGGCAAACCGTTGGGATACAGCGAAGGGGATGAGTTAAAATGCCATAGACGATGGAGATATGTCAGTACAGTGAGCAATCGCACATCCCATTGCTTCCATCTCGAATATCAAAATCAAATTCCTAGTCCTCATCCAGTAATCAATGACAAGGGCTCATTATTTTCCATATTGTAATCCCAACCTAATTAATTCAACAAGTGTACTATTGTTCCATGCAATTTCGCCTGATTGAGTCATTAAGGTGACTCGACATTTCGGCACATGACAATTGCATTTTAAAATATATTAAAACGAGTGGGCAATAGCTTTTTTATTATATACTCTTTTCTGTAAATAGGATAGCAATAGCAATTGATGGAGAAAATAAAAAATGGAGGAATAGGTAAATAAATAAATATGAGAGATTACAGTGACAGCAATGATGTTTTAATTGATATATATGTGTCTGAGTTTGAGTGAGAACTAATGGAACAATTTTATTTCCACAATTTTGGAGTTAATGATTAATGTCTTTTATTTTTTCGTATCGCCATCCGTGCATCATGCGTGTATACACGCGTTGAATTGTCATCGTCGTTATCGGACCATTGGTGTTAGCTCTCCCATATTCAACACATATTCTATACATATCTATTACACACCCAGCGAATATAAATTCTGTAGAATTTTAAATAACTTGTCAACTGCAGATGCCCGGCGTTAGAGGACTCATGCTGCGGCGTACACACTGTACGAGCAGAAAAGCGAATAAAGAGCTAGATATGGTGAGGGTTGGGTGGGTAAATGGGAATGAGGGGATTGTAACACTCGTCATCTCTCTGGCGTGTGCAGAAAATTTCGAATAGTTGTTATCGGAACATGTAGCCCCCGGTAACAGGTGTCACTGATGCCAGTGTGCGACACCGAGCCCGTATTTTCCATTTATTTTCTCCAATGTGCATTTTTTTTACCCCCCACTTTTATTAGTGTTAAAAATTCAAGGGCCTCAATCCCGCGGATGAACTCGAATAACTAGGACATCGGCTTTCTTTCCTATTTTTTTTTATCATCCGCTCAAAAAATGGGGCAATTAAATATTCTGTTTTTATTTTAAACTCGAGATTCTCCCGTTATTAATTGATTCATTATAATTTTATCTCGTTCTCCTATTTCACCACATCGGGAAATTCTCTTATTATTAATTATATATATTTATATTTATCTTTTTAGATTTCTAGTTCATTTATGAAGGGAAAGGAGATGAAGGCGGGGGATGAATAGATTATTTAATCCACCGGTGGTGTACGTCCTGTGCAGCAAGTGAATTCCTGCGTAGTTTTGGCTTGTGTGCTGTAATAATACACTAGTGGGGGATGATCGTTAATCACCCAGATGAAATATAATTTAATACCTCCACTACTTGCTCTGGGATGTTCTGTAATTGGGGCCTACCAGAAATGACGTACGGGGTAAGAACACGCTGAGAATATCCCTGACATGCGTCTTCGCTTCTCGTGCAATTGACTGCGATTTATTCCTTAATGATTTTTCAATTGATTATGAATGAGAAAATGAGAAAATGTGATACGTCATTTGCGCTTTCTCCTGTGGTTCTGATTGATAGCACAATTATTCGTTCCTTTTCTTTACCACTGAATTTATTCAATATGAAATTTATTATCAATTAATTTAATTAACTCTTATTTATTTTTTATTGATCAATCCGTGAGGCAATTCTTTTTTTTTATAAAATCTAAGGAATTCCAAGGATTAAGCCGTAATTATCATTTTCAAACCTAAAATGCAGAAAATTCGGGGTTAATTTTCTCAACGAGAATTCATTGTACGTTGTTCTGACACAGAAGGGTATTTTACGGTTGAATCTAAATAAATTTACGTTGTTGGAGTCACTGAGAAAATGTAGAGTAGAAGACAAATGATGGAACGTGCGGAAGTCGCGTAGCCCCCGACCCAGTGCCACCGGCAAGTAATCCATTCCATCGAGGATGATGATCGTGACTCCTCGGGGGAATTGTAACCGAATGGAACCGAATGAGACATCCTATCATTATCCAATAATCCATATGTCTTTGCCGAGACAAAGAGGAGACGGTGAGTGAGAATATCATCATTTGTTACCCCTCTCTCTTCCCTCAAAAGAAAATGCAGATAAATTTACACCCATCCAAAAAAATTTTGAGTTCAAATTTTTTACCAGAGTAATTTTAATCTCGCTAGAAATAGAACTGAGTGCAATTTTTTAACACTTTTAGGTAATTTTTAATAAACACTGAATTAATTATGGAAGTGAGACCACCACAATCGAGAAAAATGGAGAAGTCTGTTGAAAGGGTTGTGAAAAATTAAACAAATTTCTAAACTGTTGGATTACGCCGCACTGAATATTCAAACTCTCAGTGGAAAAGCCGCTGATAAGAGGAGCATAAAAAATAATAAAACTCCGGTAAAATATGGAGAATCGAAATATCACGTCATAAACATTCAACTAAATTTTATGCCTTTTCAATTAAACCCCTTGGGATTTTTATTTCTCGTTACCACAGGGAATGGATTCAGCGTTATCGATGCATCCCCAAGAATTTACATAAAGGATGAAATTTCAATTGGATATGTAGATGACAAACGTCCAATCTCCCAGCTCCAATATTCCAACAAAATTAATAAAAAATATGAAATAAAAAAAAAATGAGATAATGAGAAAAAAGCTTGTTGAATATTCCGGGGTAGTTTCTTTAGGTTTTTACCACTGAGTCGAACGTTTTACTCCATTCAAAAATTCCATCGTTCTCGGTTAGTGTCACGTGCTCCAAAATACTGGAGAGGGAGAAAAATAGGGGGAGAATAATTTATAGGGCTGGCACCTTTTTATATTCATCTGGCTCTTGGTTTTTTTTAACCCCTAATACTCCTCATCTTATATAGTTCTGGCCCTCCGTATCCCCATACAGACGCCACAATTCTGAATGCTCCGTTTGGCCTACGTAATAGCAAAAAAAATAAAGAAGGACCAAACGTAATTTCTCAAGTCGCCACCGAGAAGAGAGATATTAAAGTTTTTTTTTTTCCACTCGGGTTATATACTCATAAGGGGGAGGAGGAGGAGGCGTGTTGCCCCTATTCAAACTCACATTTGCCTTGAAATTACATCAAAGCGTTCCTCACGAGATTGCTAAAAAAAAAGGGGATGAGAGTAATAGAAGAAATTTATTTCCTCCATATTTACCATTTCCTGTATTTTGCCTCGACATTGTTGTCGCATTGTTCACTACAATTGGAGTTTAAGAAAAAAATATTGAACACCACAGATTCGCTATCGAGTAATTAAACGGAATTCCGAGTTGAGTTATTGAGGCTGCATTATTATTTTAGAATATAAAGCCTAAATTGGAGGGATTTGAAGGTATTAAAAAAAATCCTCTGTCAACGGGGATTTCGTGTAAAAGGGGGTAAATGCCATGAATTCCATCAAAGCGTTCCTCTCGAAATTGTTAATAAAAAACGGGCATGAGATTAAAAGGTGGAATTTTTCTCCA